GCCGATGAAGCCCTCAAGTGAAGATTCCTACTCTTCCCCCTGAAATGAGAGACGGGCGTTTTGGACGAGTTGTCTGAACTAGCTTGCATTTCTTGATTTCAAGAATTGCAATTGCAATCGCATCTGCACCAATACAAAGAAATGCATCCACCAATACATACAATGGAATTGGATAATTGAAACGATTTTAGGAAGCAGAACCAGTCTTGAAACATTCAGCATTCCTTCGAACGCGGCGCGGTATAGTGCAATCGCGCAAGGGCCCCGCAATCACGTAAGGACCACGCAGCCAAGTTAACTCGTCCAAGAGCCAAGATTAGTGGCCACAAGCCAGCTTTGTAAGACCTAGCGCCGTTGTCGCGCACTTTCGAGCCGCGACAACGGCACATCTGTGCTACACGTGGGCTACTCTATCCCACCCAATGAATAGATTCTTCGAGACGACTTCTGCTGGGAGTGTTGCTTTGATACAAAACAGGGTCTTTGTTTTCTGGAGTAGTCGGTAGAAGTGAGGCCTTCCAAGGATGGTTGATAATTAATGTGCACCGAGCTTGAGCTTTGCTCGTACTTAGGAAGAGCGGGTGCGGGGAGGCATGTAAATGTAGTCCCATCAATACAGGGAAAATTCCAGCGTTTGCGGAGAAAAAAAAACACGTGAATATCTCTGTAATTTCGGTGAATCGCCTTGAAAGTATCCCCTACAAAACTAATACCTACTCCTCTTTCCGAATACACTACTAAGTTTACCCAATATTACCCCTAAAATTGACCAAACATCACCCCAACGAGGATCCCCCTGCTTTGAATTCCAATGGTCTGAGCTCCGTACCGTGGACGTCGCTACCCTTATACTCTCACCTCAACTAGCTAGGTATAGAAAAGTCGCAGAGATTCCCTTTGTTTTGAATGCTGTTGAAAATTTGTCATTTTCGCCTATCGCTCATTTATCGTATTGTTCTTCAGGGTGGTGATACAAAGCAGATAGGACATTCTCTGCCTAACGACAACAAAAACATCAACAATGTGGAACTTCAAATCTGAAGAAAGCTCAGTAGCTCGTGCTGAAACTGGTCTTGTCGCTTTATGTACAGAGAAGAAAGCATATAAATCGCTTGTATGGTAACCACGCGGTTTTTTTCGTGTTCTGTGATAAATAACTGTGATTACGCTACTCCTAGCTCAAAATCATATTGAATAGAACCAAGGTAATTTGATTGGATAAGCAACCATAGCGATTTTGTGTAGTCATAGGAGCCTTTTGA